CAATCAATCAATCAATCAATCAATCAATCAATCAATCAAACAGTCAATCAATCAATCAATCAAACATTGTAAATTTAGTCAGCGGTAGAGAAACCATTAGGTCACTATTCTGTTCATTCTGGCTCCAAAGTGACTCTAAACATGGTTTGTATTCTTGATTTAAAGGCACTCAGTGTTTCAGCTGTTTCGCAGTTTTCTGGATCTTTGTTCCAGATTTGTGGTGCATAGTAGCTGAATCCTGCTTCCGTCTTTGGAAGAAACTGAAACTCTGAGTTACCCAACAAATGTTTCTGCACCAATTACTAAGTGGTACTTTTCTACTGTATCCAATATTTATCAAATGCAAAACTGCTCAATATTTTAAAATTATATAATTCATCTCTTCATTTGTCGTCATTTGTTGCTTCATGAAATGTTTCGTTCCACTGTACATTCCCAATCTGTTTCATTTGTTGGAGTTTGATCAAATTCTGTTTTGTTCATTTTTATATTTTTTTCCTCAGGGGAAGCAGATTTATTACTGAAGCAAGTAAGTATGATTTTATTCAACAAAGATTTAGTTCAGTTTAAATGTAACTTTTAACCATTTATCATCATAAATCATAAATTTAACAACAGTGATCATTTTAAAACATTTTTGCACATGGTGTTTTAAAAACATACAGGAGTGGCTCAGCTTAAGTTCTGCTGTTGACAAACTATGCTGCAATATTAATTAAATAAGCTAAAAATCTAATTTTATGTCTTGTTTCAGAAAACAACCACCGCAGATGTTCATCGGGATCTTTTTGAGATTCTTCATAAGTTGACCAGGAGGACTTTAGTGAAATTTAAGTCACTTCTTCAGTTCACATGCTTTGATTGGGGCCTCCAGCAAATCCCAGATTTCCATCTAGACCAGGTGGCCACAGCACTGACTCTGGTGGGTCTGATGGTGAAGGAGTTTGGCCAACAGTCTGTTGAGATAGCCAGAGAGGTTTTAACAGACATGACTGATCTGGACCAAAGCCCGCTGGAGGTCACATCCGAAGGTAGGAGCTGTAAAATGTTTCCATTGTCTTCTGCATGTCTTCTTCTTCTTCTTCTTCTTCTGCATATTATTGTGTCTTGGTAACATAATGTTTATCAGAAAGATTTGAAAAGCTGCTAACATATATGATAGCGACCTGGACCGGTCCGGTTCACCAGCCAAACATTTATGCTACAATGTTTGTATTTGTGTGAAACTGAGTTTTAACTTTAAATTCGTTCATTCTCATGGTGACTCTGTATATTTCTGAGGTATTTTGATAACGTTTGATAACAATAATTAAAAGTTATCAATGTCTGACATTGTCTAGCTAAATGTTTCTACGTCAGGCTTCCTGGCTGCTACATGATGAGCTGCTCTCTGCTGTAGTTGGGATTTGTTGTTTGCTGCTGAGCAGAAGCATTTTGTGGCTAAAACAAACATTAATTTTTACATTAACTTTTAAGTTAAGTGAAACTTCTCTAATTAAAATTGTCTGAAGCCTCAGAATCAACCCGTACTCATTCTCAAGTGAGAAAGACTCACCTGGTATAAATGAATTTTTCTTTTGTCTGAAATGTCGCTACATACAGAAAGAAAGTCACTGAGTTTCCACAGTGGGTGAATATTGTTAACAGACCTGGTGGGTCTGTCAGTCAAACCTCTCACTGCAGAGCAGAAGAGGACAGAGGCTGAGCTATAAATGTGTTTATTTAACACTTATCCATCAGTCGTGAGTTGTTAGTGCGGAGCCCTTAATTACTTCCAGATAATATATTAATAAGTAAAACTAATATATTAGCTTAAAACAGCATTCATGACAAAGGGGATCCTAAATATAATTTTCTTTATTCACTTGTGTTTAGTTATTTGCCTAATTATCCACTACATGGCTTGATTTGTCTATCAGTGTCATTATGATGAAAAATGGGATGTTTACTACCTTCATGCTGACTAACATGGTTGTTCCCCTCCATCAGTTTCATTCAACTGGACATGAGGTTGGCTGCAATCCAACATCCATTTCTTACGTTAATCCAGACTCCTTTGTGGTTTTGGAAATGTAATAAATTGTATTCCAGCGTCTGCATGTTCTGGGAAACGGCTGTGGGGACTGACAACTGGGACCGTGATTATCGAGTATTTTCCTCAAAATCTCTCTGACCGTGTTTTCTATGATAGATGTTGTCAGTGTTGTGCAGTACTGTACTTGGAACGCTGATTGGTCAGTTGCTGAGAAGTGCCCTGAAATGATTGGGGAGGATTGCTCTTGAAAGTGAAATGGCTCCATGAGAGAAAGCGATGCATCCCCTTCCCATCCATCTCAGCTCTTTTTAGAAAAATGATTTACAGTTTGGTTCAGAATAACAGAACTGAACTCAAAATAAAAGTTTTTCATTTCATACAAACCTTGAAAACTATTTGTTTTCTGTAAAAGAACCCATGATCAAAAATGCATCAAATTTATACTCGCTCTATGAAAGAGTGGCAAACAGGAACATCAGGCTGTCCAATAAATAGCATTTATCTTCACCTACTGAAACATTCATGGCATAAAGCAAAAAATGCTTGAAAGGTTATAGTTCTGTTTAATTGTGGAATATAAATATTAGTTATGCAATGACTTGAGTAGACTAACTTCTGGCACATGTGAACAGATATGATTAGAAACTGTAATCCATATGTCTGAAAAGAAGATTTACAAGATGCAAAACAGTGGCATGTTTGGTTTGATCAGAAATATTATCAGCCTCTGTGATGAAGGGCTGGAAAATGCAAAAATACACTTAATAGACCCAAATCTAAACACCTGGACGTTACTCCACTCCTCTAGGCAGTTGACAAAGATACAAACCTCATTGGTAGGTTTAAGGAACCTGTAATGAGTTGTTTAAAAAAATTAAGTTCCTGACGGGATTATCAGCCATAAATTATATTAATATTTCAGGCCTTTTATCATAACAGAGCACTGAGAGGAAATCATGAAAATAAAACTCCACTCAGAGGCTGGAGCTAAAACAAACTAAATATGCAACAATGATAAGAATAAACACGATGCAACAGCTTCTAACATAATCCATTAGCCCAAAGACAGGGAGGGGTCACTGCACCAGCAGAGACAGGCCAACTGGTAAATCATGGAGAGCTTCATAAAAGTGTTAAGGTCAGAGGGTTATGAATACCTTCATCTGGGAAAGAGTGTGTCAGAAAAGGATGAGTGGGTCAGCTGCTGATGCTGAGGAGATGCAGCATCTCACTGTGGAGCTGCTGATGCAGAGGAAGACCAAGGCATTGGTCAACCAGCTGATCCCACACACAGCTGAAGCATTTCTGAGAACAGTCTTAATGATGATTAAATGCGTGTCAGATTTGGTGTAAAGGATGATTTCTAAGCTTTAAATAAAATGTTGTGTTTTTCAAAAAGGGATTCCAATGGATTTTCCACTGAAATGTGCAGAAACAGTCAATTATCTAAAGGTACTTTTATGTTTGATTTTCTCATTTCGTTATTTTATTGACCTTCTCAACATCTTGGCTGGTTGTAAACCTGATTGTTGTCCTCATCAGGACTCCAGCAGCTGCACTAAAGTGGAACCTGAGATGAAAACTGCAGATCCAGACGAGGCTCCAGCCTACAGGTGAAAAACAACGTTCCTCCCAGTACAACACCAGTAAACCCAGTCAGTCACAAACACAGACGAGAGCAGAGACATTCCCTCCTATGAACAATTTGGAGGCACCAATAAATCTAACATGTTTTTAGACGATGAGGAAACCAGAGTACCAGAGAGGAATCCGTCCACCAGATGGCCAATTAAATTACAGGAAACTAAACTAAAAATATCTTCTACATGCAGATGATTCAGAAAATTCTCCACAAAAAACATTTGTCAAAATTTGTTGAAAATATAAATCGTCACATTTTTATTTGCTTTATTGAAACGTTTTGTTCAGCCTCCAGAGTGAAGCTGGACTCTTTGAGTGCAGCGTCTCTGGTCTGCGCTGGTTCTGCTCCGAACGGGTCGTCTTCAGGTACCGGTTCTGCTCCTGGGACGGATACATGGAGAGGATGGAGAGCAGAGGATACCGGCCTGCTGGTCCTTTACTGGACATCAGTCTGATTACTGGGAGGATGACGGAGGTGTTCCTGCCTCACTGGATCTGTGTCGGTAGGAGAACATGATGGTACCAAACCTTTTAACACCGTTGACCCAGAACTTTTCCTGCTCTTTGTGTTTCCTTCAGACGACGTCCGTAAACCTTTGGAGCAGTTTGCTGTCCTCCACATGGACGACTGTGGAGACGCTGTGGAGAAAGTCTCTGAGGTCTCACCGTCACACGTCAAACTGGCTGAACCCGTTTTCTCTCCGAGAGCGGTTCTGATGAGAGCCGGCTTTCCTGTGAAGGTCTACTGCAACATGTTGCTCTATCGGACCAACACGGCTTTCCTCACGCTGCATGTTTACCTCATCCCACGCGACCCGGCCTTACAGCAGGTTAATATGCAGGTCTTATGGTAGAAGGAGTTTTCATATAAAAACGGGTCAGAACTTCTGCATAGTTGACTTATAAACCATTATAGTATACACATATGAAAAAAGATACAGCAATTTATAAAATATTCTTACTCAGTTATTAAACTTCAGAGCATAAATGCAGCATTTCTAACCTCATGCAAAGGCTGACATACACCATGTCAGCCTGGGGTTAGCATCGTTAGCTGGGAGCTAACAGCTAACTGTAGCTCAACAGAGTTTGAGGTTTTTCTTCTTCTTCTCTCCTTTTTTTTCTTTTCTCTGCACTGAAAGTCCCCCAAACTGCAATGCTGGTACCGGGTCCTACAGGCCATCAGCCACAGTCAGAACCAAAGTCACATCAGGTTTGGTTCAGCCAGTTTAGTAGAAACACACCTAACACGACTAACGCTTTCATAGCCTTAAGTAACCACAGTAGACCTTCTCTCTGCCTTAACCTAATGAGTATGGCTGACTCTTTATCATATCAACTCCTCAGTTTTCCCAGGGTGTCGGTCCTTAACCGGGACACAAGGCGAGCCCAGAGTCACCAGTTTGGCTGAGATCTGAAAGTCTTTTCTCCTTTGGGTCTGTTCACATGGCAGGACCAGCCTGGACCTGGACCAGAACGGATTCAATGCTTTTTGCATGTTTGTTGGCCAGAATTAAACATTTCAGTTGAACTGAGTGAAACAGCGTTAGGGACTCCCCCTGCTGGTCGTATTTGGTTCTTACATCTTCAGAATCAAATCAGACTATCATATTAAACCCAAATTACTGACAAGCACTTTGTAAATTTAAATAATATTGTTGAAGAATGTAATGCATACAACGTGCTGATATGTCCAGAGTCATTGTAAATATTTCTCTGGCTTGTAATGAACTCATTCCAATCCATCTGACCCACTTAGAAGAATCACAACGTTTAGCTGTTGGAGAAATATTTCCCATCCTGGAGAGCAGTGATGCCATGGAAATCCAGATTATCCTGTTTTAATCTGTACCTGGAAATCTGCTTCTCTTAATCTTTGTTTGTTTTATTTGTGCTATTTTACTAAAAGTGATAATGTTCTGCACATTAAGAGCTATTCATAAATAAAGCACAGAATGGGAAGTGAAATATGTCGCTCTTTAAGACATGCTTACATGTGGAGTTCTACATCCAAAACATTTTTAAAAACATCTTTAAAAATGAAATTAAGCAGATATCAGACATGACTCTCCATCACTTTACCTCCAGTAGTTTAACTGTGTAAAGACATAACTGCTTTCACTCATATGTTCAAATATATGAATAATTATTGATTATCCTATAAAACCAACTGAAAAAATGACTCAGTAAGAAACAATCCCAACATTACAGCCAGTTTATAATAATAATTTATGATTTTTATGATAAATAATAAACTTATTTTTGCTTGGAGGAAATGGACCAAAGGGAAACGTCTTATGGATACAAAGTCATAAGAAAGCCAGATCCAGACATGCCTCTGAAAATGTTTGATGACTTCGTCCTCACAGCAGATCTGGAATCGGCTGAAGTTTGTCCTGAGGTACGATTCCACATCTGTGATGTTTAATACGATAGTTTCTGTTGATATTAGTCCTGCGTTTCAGACCAGCAGAGGAAGGATGCAGCAGCTACTACCTGATCTCAGCTGTTTCAAGTGGTGTGTTGTAAAATATTTATGAGCAATCAGTATCTTACTTTAATTAGGCCATTGTCTTGCAGACAGGAGGATGGAGCTGAGCAACATCAGCACTGACTGTACACTGCACATCCTCCGTTCTCCAGAAACAATAACCTTTATTGATCATAATATCTAATCTCTGAAATGTTCAGCTGTTTGTTAAATATAATTTTGTCTGTGAATCGTAAAATAATCTGCAAACAGAAACAGCAGATTCCACATAATTTACTAAACGAAGGTGAAGCTAACGCTGTCAGGAAACCGTTTCTGCTTCTGTTGGGTTTAAGAAGAGAAGCATCAGCCTGGAGCTGCTGGTCAAATGCATTGATAGGCTGATCATCATTTATATTATATTAGATTAGAAGAAATTACAAAGACGTCTGTTGCTCACATAGATGCAAAAGCTTCTATAAGAATGCTAGATTAACAAAATAAAACATTATAAAGCTGCTAAGTGATGTAACTCCAGTCATATTTATTGTATCCATTATCTTAGCTTTAGGTCTGCAGCTGCAGATTAACTCAGGGCAGAAAGATGTTCGATCTTCACCTTTTTGAACCAGTCACTGTGATTCTGTTGCTGCGTTGTGTGATTGCTGCTCTCTCTCTGTCTGCAGCTCAGTATCACACAGATTTGAACTGAATAAACCCAATCCTTCCTTCCTTTCCTGTGTGAACAGAGACTAAAGCTCAGGTATAATCCCACAAGGCCAAATTTCTTTGAAGTGTACATTAAAAATCCAGAGACAGACTTCCAGATGAAACTCTTACAAGCAAAGCAGCTCAACCCAGTGTGGACCTGCGCACTTCGGAAAGGTCGTTAAAACAGTCACACTGACTCATACATCACCTTAACGCTCTGCTAAAAATAAACCTCTAAATCTTTATTTTCTCTGTTTGAATTTCAGATGAATACCAAAAAACTGAGGAGAGAAAAGGTAAGAGATTAGATCCTTTGTTTCTGCAGAAAAACTGCATTTTGGGTTTTAGATTAATTTCTAGTGTTAAAAATGAATCAATATTCTGGAGTTTGAGTTTCATTGAAGGAGAGAAAGAAACGTAACAAACATTTCTTCTCAGGTGGAGCAACTGGAGTCGCTTATTCACACCAGGGTAACTTGTTTTGTACCGCTCATTAAAAGAAGATAAGTTTCTGATAATTTTTAATTAATTTCTGTCCTCAGTGAAACATTACGTGGAGGAACATCCGTCTCCTCTCACGCAAACAGTGAGTCGTCATCCTGATGTCTGGATAAATGTTTGTCAGACCTTCAGGTTTTGTTTAGTTTGTATTGAATTTCACTGCTTTTGTTTTCATTTTTCTGCCTTTGCCTCTCATCTGGTGTTAAATTACTCAGATCCCAGTTAAATAAACTGGTTTACTGGTTGTAACTTAATGGGCTGCAGCTCAGATTTTCACTGTTTCTGTCTCGTCTTGTTTCCTGATGAGGATTTAAAACTTTCTTTCAGCTGCATTGAGTTTGATTCCACTTTTTAATTTATTTTTGTTGTCATTAACGTTCTTCCTGCTTCTAAGTCTCTCATTGGTCTTTTTTCAGTCAGAGCAAAAACCTTCCCACTTTACAAAATAAATAAAGATGCTATTTAATTAGAGATGCAATAAAACTGATTTAATTTGATAAACTTTGTTTCCATGTCGCCAGGCGGCATCTCTGCGCTCAGACAGAGAGAAGCTTCTGGAAGTGATTGGAGATCTGAAGCAGCAGGACCTGAAAAGGTTCCGGTTTTTCCTGAGGGACGTGGAGGTGTTTGTCTGCAGAGCAGACGGAGGAGCCGCTCCGCTGAGAATCACAGCCGGTCAGCTGCAGAACGCAGACGCTGTAGACCTGGTGGATCTGATGCTGCAGACCTTCAGTCAGCAGGCCGTGGAGAAAACCAAGGAGATCCTCAGGAAAATACCCAGGAATGACCTGCTGGAGGCGCTGTCCGGAGGCAGCTCATGATCCAAACAGGAACCGCTTCCAAACAAATTCAGGACAAACTCCAGAAACACTTCACACAAAAAACTCCATACATATTTTTTATTCCCATGTTCTTCAGTGGATGATGTGTTTTTAGTGCAAATTATCAAATAAACTTTTGATGCAAATATTTTAACAAAAGAATACATTATTTTATAAGGTCTTAACTACTGTTTCAAAAATGTTGCTCAAAATTAAATGTTACAGTAAATAAATTTAGCCTTCAGAATGTTTTATTCTTGCAGAAGATTTCAGCTCCTTGCTGGAGCTGGAATCTTATTTTCTGTTCTGGAAGAAGAGCAAACCTCCGACAAACGTGGAACTCACTGCATTACCTGAGGCATTTGAGTCGTTTCTGCCCAACGGGTCCAACATCAGGCCTGATGTTAACAGGAATCAGGGAAATCAACCTTGAAGCCATGAATGAGGGGCAGAAAGTCTCATTGGATGAGAGCGTGAACACAGCGCGTTTGCAGTGATGATGTTTATGTGATGAGAGTTTTCACCAGTCAGAAACATGAAACCCTTGAATTCATTGTTTCCTGCTGCATCAAGTTGAAGAAAACATAAAACATAAACTTTCTTTGTGTAATGCTGAATATTTAAAGTTTTTGAAAATGCTTATCATACTCTTCCTAAAAATCAAAATTAAAACACAAACCAAAATAGTCTAAAACCAGTGGCGGGCCGTGCATTTCACACCTAGGCCTTCAGTAGTGCCCGGTCTGAATCAATCCAACCCTCAATAACTATTTTATGGCTAGACTAAAACATATCTCAGGTTTTTTGACAATGTTTTTTATTGCCAGAGTAAGATTTCTGACTGGAGAGCCGAGTTACAGCATTTAGCACAAAAGATGACAGATATGATAGTTAAAGGAATTTAGATCTTGATAAAATGAAGTTTGTGTATTTACCTGATGGGACAAAGTGAAGCTTTGTGGTGCTTTATTTTCCTTTTTAACTTTGTTAGTCTGTGGAATATTTCTGTCCAACTCTTGATGCTGATACATGAATTGTGTTTAAAATGACCTTTAATTAACCCATAAAGTCCAATAAATCAACTTTTTGAAAAGGCAACAAGAAAATAAGGATAAGGTTGAACGATCAAATAGTCACAGATTTTTCTGCCTCCCTGAATAATCCCCTAAGACTCCATAAGGCCGATCCAAACAGGTGGTTGCATCCACTTACATTTACTCAGATTACCTCAATAAGGTTTTTTAATGTAGTTTTAGGAGTAGTTTTATTTCACAGTACTTTTTATCAGAGCAATATCTTTATTGCTTCTATTACGTCTGTAACATTTTTAGATATTTTACCCAACATGAGTGACTTTTGTGAGAGAGGAAAAATCATATTTTAAACAAAGCAGTTATGAGACACTGACATCCAGATTTTATGTCCAAGTGAGACCTCCTGTTTGTGCAGAAGCTTTGCTGTTCTGCCTGTGGTGCCTTTTGAAATGAATATATTGTAAACATCGTCAATGGAAGAACTGTACCCTGTTCTGACATACATCTACAACATCTAGTGCAAGGATTAGTTTCATACAATTTTTCCTGAATTTTTTAAATGTTTTTCAGCATCAGTTGGTTGTTTTATAGTTATATTTATCTGTATTAATTTTGCCTTTAAAACACCAGAATTTGAACGTAACCTAGTTATTTTATTATTGTATTCTGCCTGTAGTTTTACAAATGGCAGCAGAGGAAGTGAAAGAAGCCGTTCAGTCCAAGTTGGTCACACTTCCAATTATTAAACCAACGTTAACAGACAGCATCGTTCCTCTACTAACACTTTAACAAAGTTTTTTTTTTTTTTTTTTACCAGAGTTTCACTGAGAAGTAGCTCATATGAAGAGCTCAGCTGATGAGCAGCTCCACCAGGTGTTTACTAATTGCTGCTGGCTAGTCTGTAGGAGCAGAGTGTCGTCGTGGTGGAGCGCTGCTCTGTGAGGCTGAAGCTGGGGCTCGGTCCACCCAGGCGTTTTAACAGATGAATGGTTGCCATGGAGATCAA